AGTATCAAATTCATATTTTTTGCTTTGAAATTGCATTGAAAAATTATATTAAGTATTTACAGTAAGACACAGACCTGTTATATTCAGTTATCCATCACTTTGGCATATGGTCCCCCAGTAGAAAAGAGCTGAATTCCCTTTTGCTAGGGACAGCAGGTAATTGAATTGAATCATTTTAATCTAAAAGCAGCCAGTGGAACTGCTGTCACAGGATGCAGCGGGTCACTTACCCAAGAAAATCAACCATCACAACACAGCTTTGCAATACACCTCCACCCACAAGAGAGGATCAACACAATAAGGGGCACTAAGATATTGACAGCTGCCTCACCTTGGTCTTAACTAAAAATGGCAGATGAAATACTGGTTGATCACTAGAAAAACTGCCAGCATCACATGGGGAGGAGAGCAGATGAGAGATGAAAGCCAAGATTCTACAAAGGAATCCAAAAAATCATAAGGAGAAATAGTTGTACTTAGAAATAATAATTATTTCTACTATTTCTTTACTATCTCAGATCTTTTACTCTTTCATGGCTTTTTTAAAGAAATAACAAAGCTAAAGGAACAATTTTTAAAAGGAGCTGTAAGATAATACTTTAACTAATCAGAGGTTTGTGTGCATTAATTTGAAAAATCACATGATGGTACTCTACCAATTCCTGAAAGCTGTTTGGTAAAGTAATAATAGCTGTTAAGAGGATGACAGGTCTCAAACTAACTGAATACAAAGTAAAGGCAATAGTTAAATAGGATCACACTGGAAATGCATTGAAGTAATATTGGGAGCAGCATACCTGGAAATAAAATGAAGTTCTAGATTTGTAACTGGAATAATATACTGATATTACCTTTATTGAAACACTGCTGCTACATCAGCCTTTTGTGAGTAAAAGAAAACCTGTTAAATATGGTAATAACAAAGTTTATAGCCTATTTTTGAATTATTGTAAGTGCAACTTTGTATGGTGCTTTCAATAAAAGGAAACATTTCAACATGCCATAGTTAGGAAATAAGGCTATGTTAATCTTGGGCTAAGAAGGCATCAAAGGACAAATTACCCCAAAATCCACTATGGGAAAAAGAGCTGAACATAAAAAGCCTCATTTATAAGGGCTTCCTCACTAATTCTTCCTCACTAATTTCTGCTTTACTAATTCAGGATAATATTATAACTTAGGGAAGATGTAATTTCTATTAATACAAAAACAAAGTATTAGAGTTTAGGGGAAAAAACAGACCAGCCATTTAGAAAAATGACACTTAAGAGAACTTGGTACTAAGTACTAAGAAGCCACGAGAGTGCTGTGCTGTCATTGGAAAGTTATTTTCTCCCAAATTATTTCCTACCTGTGATGCAACAAAATACATACAGAGATTTCTTGCTTTGGTAATGTGTTTTCAGGTCCTCAAATAAAATTCTATCTAACTACAAAATATTTGTTGCCATAGATTAAAGACACAGGATGGAACATATGTTAACAAAGAAAAAAGATCCAAGTCAGAAGCATTTCAGTATGCATGGGACTTATCTTGTATTTTTGTTGAATTAGGATCACAATCATCCACTGCAAATTAAAGCCAGTGCTCCCCTGAGTTACCAGCCAACTACACTGGCCTATTTACTGGCTACCCCACTCCTCCAAGATTATGTCTCTTTCTAACAAATTAGTTAAAATTTTTTAAAGGTGCAGACAACAATGCCCACGAGGCTCTGACACAGCGATTTAGGCTCTTATTTTGACAGCAGGAATTGTGAGCTCCAAATTCTTTGCCTGGAAATGCTTCTCTATATGAGTATTCTAAGACACATAGTTTGTAAATTGATTTGTAACTTGATCCATCTCCCTTCCAAGGCACATCTGACACTCACAAAATGCCCTTGTGAGAAGAAAGGGAGAGTAATCCACTCACTGAGACTCTGGCCTGACCTGGCCACTGCCAGCTATGAAGTAACAGAGAGAATGATCTAAAACCCTTCAACCTTTTGGGAAGAAAGGATACAGCAACTACAACAAGAAAACAGTCACCTAAAAAGGAGAAGAGCTGTATCTCTGAATTCTGAATATGGGGATTACATAGTAAAATACCCATGGACAAGATTAAATATATCTAAGACATTTTTTGCTGAAGATTTTATTACTAAAGTATTACTGAGAACATACATGCAAAGAACAAAATCAAGGTCTACTGCCATTCCTTTTGTAAGTTTTTATTTATTTCTGTAACAAAATTTCTTTCTTTGTAATTATTAAGGACCATTGTTATATATCAGTTCAGTTGCAGTTATATTATTTATACTTAATTTGAATTTTGATACATTCTTTTCTTCTGAACAATCAATTTTTCCTATAAAGCAAAATATTTTCAACAGTAATTACAATAAGGTACTGTCTGCCTAAGTGGACAGGAAGATGAAAGTTGTATTTGAAGTCTGCAGGAAGATTTCAAATTAACAAAAAGAGGCAAGGATGACAGAGTTTAATTACAGATTTCATGCTCATTCTAAAAATCAAATTTCTTCATTTTAATAACTTTCAAAAACTGCAGACACCAAATATTGCTGTTGTGCAATATTAAATATTTCCACCAGATGTCTCCAGCATATTATTTTACACAGAAAGCTGCACTCAATTTGAAGTGTAATGTGCCAAATAGAAATGTAGTATATTAAAGAAGTAAAGAGAAGAAAGCTGCAACTAATTACTTATCTGTTTAGACATGGATATTTTAGGGAGATTCACAGTGTTGCCTAGGCAAACAGCAATTTTTTGAACTAACATTTTGGCCAAGTCTGCTTTAAAAAAAAAAAAAAAAAAAAAAAAAAAAAAAGAAGAGAGAGAACTTTTAAGAGGCACTTCACATCTTGATAGCCCCATATTTTCAGAGCAATATAAGGTTATATTTGGCATGAGTGACTGTCAGGTTATTGAGAAATATTTTGTTTGTCTTATAAAAACATGAAGAGTTTGCAAACCAAGCTAAAGACAATTCTGTTTTCAGGACTCTGATATAAGCATGGAGTAATCCAGTTATTTATTAATAGCCTTTGTGGATTACTCCCACTCACTACCTTGAAATGCTCACCCAGATTCTGTCAGTCTGAGTCTGAACACAAGCAATGCTCAATACACAGTGCCAGAAGAGAATTCCAAGGATGAAAGGCAAACGAGACACTGCTAATTCTCAGACCCACATTTCACTGAGTTGTGCTTCAAAGGGCATCTTTGAACAACTCTCACAGAATCCTTCTCATTTGTCTGTGCATCCAAGAAGCACTTGGTGCATCTGACAGACACGACAGAGCCAGCCTCGCCTTATAATCACTTCTGTGTAAGAGCAGCTACATACGTGCACATCTATATTTAACTCAGGAAACCCACTCACTTATTCAAAGTAGGTTATGCCTGAAAATGAGAGACTCAAAAGTCTAAAGGGCCAGTGACAGAAGGTGCATATTTCCCAGGAATCTGAGGATATTATCCTGGAAGCAGCCTGGGGTCATTTGCTGGGTTACATAAAAGCCACATCCATCCTTTCAAAGGTTTCTAATGTATTTTACACAGGTTTGTTAGACTGAATTTTGCAGAAAGATGGGGAATGCCTCTAATCACAGCAGATGGGATGGGTCAGACAGAAATCAATTACAACCTGTCTTCTAAAATGATACTTTCTTTTAACCAGAGTTTTCTCTTCAGAATAATCAACCTATAGTTTTAAATGACTAATATGACGATGTATAGGTACCTAAAATTTTCATTTTAATCAGACAGTCCATTTTTAACAAAAGCTTTCAACTGAAAGAAAAGCATACCAATGACAAGTCATGTAGCTAATTCACTAATATAGTATGACATCTCTGTTTATCATTTATATCAAAGATATCTTTGAATAAACAATGTTTTCCAAAGCAGCATAAACTCAATTTTCCTTCAAAGAAATTCAAGTGCTAGTCTCCAAGACCAATGCTAAAGCATAACTGTTTTCTGAGCTGGTGACAAAAACAGCCCCTTTAATTTTTTCTCCCTTTACTTCTACTTAGTTTCCTTTAAAAATAAAAATGAAAAAAACAAAAAACCCCACATAAGGCCATATACTCAATTCACAGTATGGAAGCAGATGCCTTAAATTTTTATAACCCAACAACTCTTCAGAATATCTTAGTAGGGATTTAAGCCTTCCTTTTCAAAATTAACTAATAAACGTCACTAGTGCGTCAATGGACTCAACTGCCGTAGTGATATTCCAGAAATAGTTTGGTTATCTAGAATTTTCAAGTCCAAAGCAAAAATAGCTGAGTGCTCTGTGCTCACTATCCATGAACTCTGAACTGAGACAAAGTCACACAGCAACACTCTCCAAGCATGCAGTGCAGAGATATGGCATGTTATAAATACTTCTTTTTTTCTTTTTGTTTTTTTTGGTTTTTTTTGTTTGTTTGTTTGTTTTTGTTTTGGGGGGCTTTTACTTGGTAAGAGGCAGAGGGAAAAGGAGCATCACTCTTCATTTTCTGAAGCACCATAATGAATGGGCCAAAATGAAGATGTACAGTACCTATAAGCATTTACAAAGATGCCTCAACTTCATCTGTCTAGAGAATAAGAGACTACTTTTCCCCTCAATTATATAATTTGTCAAACACAGCAGAGTTGATAAATATTTATTATAAGGGAAACACTTTTCTTTAAATTTAATTTAGCAAGGACATTCAACTCACATTAAGATTTTATGAATAGTCAGGGAACCACAAAAAGGGCTTACAAGACCTACATGGTTTCCTACCTGACAATGATGCACGTAAAGCAGAGTTTTTATTAAACAATCCATCTAAAGAAAAAATCCACCACAGTACATGAAAATTAAGATCTGTTAAATCAAAATAGCTTGTACTGAGCAGTGCACAAGAAAAATATTTTTTAGTATCTCTAAAAAGGTCATACTCAGTTTTTAATGCAGTTGCTTTTGATGGTGTCTCTTAATTTGAAGAACTGTACAATACCTGTCCAGTATATGCAAAGTCCAGGGCTTGTTTTAAACCAAGGCTTGTGACACCATGTAAATTCACCTCATCAGCTTCACTCTCAACCATGCAGAGACTGAACATTGCCTATGGGAAAAAACAGAAATGCCATTAAGAAATTCTGGATAAATGCCTATGGGGAAAAAAGAGAAATGCCATTAAGAAATTTTGGATAAAAATTCCAAATAGTAGCAGCCTTGAGAGTCAGAATGAGATCTATACCAAGTTTTCAGTAACACCACAGCAATCAATCTTGTAACTGAGTCCTTTTATCATTAAAGAAATACAAAACCTTATTCTAGATAAACAGAGAAATCATTTTCTTTAATATACATATACTTCTTAATTAAGTCATTTAGGTGAAATCAGTGAGAACAGTCACACAATAAGGTATCGTTCAATAAAAAAAGGTAAATGGACTCTGGGAAAAGAATAATCTACACAAGCACCACTAAAAGCAATACTTATGTAGAGTATCACTGTATATAAGAAGGAGCAATAAGCCATACACAATTACTTGATTAGAAGGGGCAGGTAAAAGCATCTTTTATAAGTAATCCTTTTCAAATCAGCATCTCAGACTGGAATATGAGCAATGCAGTAGTCAATTTATTAAATGAAGTGGAATGATGGAGATGCAGACACCCAAACTTACAACCTCCCTTTATTTGTTATTGCCTCAGTTTCTCATATCATACAGTCTAAACTGAAGACAGGCAAGGTGCTATGGAATTTCCCTGAATATGCCACTGAGAAGAGCAACTCTCCCTTTCATCCAGCCTTACTTTCCAGATAATTTGTCTTCAGTGTCTCCCTGGAATGAAGCAATCATACTCAGTCTCTTGAATCCTTGTGAGAATCTTTTTCTTCTCATCCCCATTAAACTTCTTTGCCCTTCACTCTTCCCTCCCAACCTGCATTCCTGCTGCATTTCCTCTGCTTACCAATCCTTCCCTAATTATCAGCCCCGTTCTCCATTCTTTGACACCCTCCCACACTTTTTTAACAAAATAGACCACTCAGAGTTTTTAAACAGTAAACTGTGAACAAATAAACTGAACATTTCTGCCATCTGCTACTACTAAAGAAAGTCTAAACTTATCCCCAGCAGGTTTTGTGCTTTACTCAATGTCTTTAGGGAGGCTACCAGACTACACCTTGGGGAACTCCAGTAACAAAGTCCCACTCATGGATATAACTGTGTCTGCTACCTTCTGATACTCTGCCTGATACCTGCAGAAGCTGAGTATCAGTCAACAAGCTCACTGGATTTCATATGTGCAACCTGTCCACCAAGCAGTGCTGAATTTGAAAGGAAAAAAACAAGCCCTACCCTCTCTAACCATTTAGCACATATGAATGACTACATCATCTTTACCCAAACTATTCCATCTTTCACCTAGACTCAGGTGACTTCAAGAACTGAGTGCTTTTGGCAAATAGTTAATTTCTTCAGAAAATATTAGTACTTTTCATCATTAAAACACTATAATTTGGCATAAATATGTTTCCTGGAAATCATCCAATATAAACAAGAATGACATTTATCATACAGTCATTCCTTCTGATTTTGCAATTTCTGTTGAATTAAAGTGATATCAGGGCTTCTTCCAAACTGGCAACAGAAAAGAAGCAATAAATAGTTTAAAACTTTATCAAACAAATACCGTAAGACACAGTCATTAAATATACCTCAGGAGAAAAAAACCCCAAACTTCTAACAAGTTCAACCACTTTTCTTATCCATCAAAAATGTAATATTTTGTTGTCATCTAGTAGCTAATGTGAGGTTTCAGAGCTTGCCAGGAGCTGCAAGGTACTCATAAGCCACCTATTCTTTGGAAAAGCAGACCTGCAGTGGCTGTCTGGGAGAGATAAGCTTCTCTTCTCAGAAATTCACTACTAGATAAATATTTTGGAAAATATTCCTTTCACACACCAATTCCTGAATAAAGAGAGTAAAGTCTCAAAGGAACACCTGTCTGCCAAGGGGTAGATTTGCACACCTTCTGTACCCTCAACCCCGACAGCCTGCAGAAAGGCTGGGAATGCTGAGAGGTAAAAGATGCTCTGTGTCTTCTTGTGTCACAACCTGTGCATAGGAACCACCTAAAGACAGTGTGGTTACTAATACAGCTCTTATTCTGGTCACGGGATAATATTCCACACAATGAGTTAAGCTTACAAATACAAAGAAACACGTGACTGAATCCTATCTGTAAACAAGGAATCATTCTGATATGACTTCTGTCTACACTTACTAACTTTACCTTTAGGAGATTATTCTAACACAGATTCCAACATGGTCTTTACACAGGGTTTATTACTACGCAACTTAGTAAACTCAGCAGGATCAGACAACTAACTCAGTCACTGTCCATAATCACCCACAGAGCATAAGAAGCACAGCTCCAGCAGAGCTTTGACCCCTGCCAACTAGCATTATCCCAGGCAATGCCCAGACTATGGTCCAGGAGATAACTCAGACCATGGATGTTCCAAAGAGGCAGCATGGACAAAGCCAAAATGTTCACAGAGGTTTAGCCATATTGTCACAAGCCATATTATGCCAGTCCTTTTAAGGACAGAAAACAAGCCCTCATTCACCTTATTTATAACTACAGATATAGCCTAAGAGTGCAGTGGGCTATCAGAAGCTGCCAGTAAGACACAAAACTGTGGCTTTGTGGAGAATCACAGAACGGTCTGGGTTGGAAGGGACCATAACTATTATCTAGTTCCAACCCCCCGCCATGCACAGAGGCACCTTCCACTAAACCAGCTTGTTGAAAGCCCCACCCAACCTGGCCTTGAAGACTTACAAGGCCAGGGCACCCAAAAATTCTCTGGCCATCCTCACAGTACAGGATTTCTTCTTATATCTAATCCAAACCCACTTTCTTTCCCTTAAACTGAAAGCCTTCCCCCTTGTCCTATCACTACATGCCCTTATCAGAAGTCCCTCTCCAGCTTTCTTGAAGAGTCCCTCTACATAAGGAAAGGATACACACCCTGAAATCTTCTCTTTTTCAGTCTGAATAGACACAATTCTCTCAACCTTTCTTCTAATCAGTTTGGTGGCCTTCTTTTGGACTCATTCCAACAGGTCAAAGTCCTTCCTATACTGAGGACCTCAAAGCAGGATGTAGCATGCCAGGTGGGGGTCTCATGAGAAGAGAATAGAGGGGAAAAATCCCCTCCCTCTCCCTGCTGGCCACGCTGCTCTGGATGCAGCCCAGGACATGTTTGGCTTTCCAGGCTGTGAGTGCACATTGCTGGCTCATGTCCAGCCTCTCATCTCCCTCAAGTCCTTCTCAGCAGGGCTGCTTTCCATCTGTCCATCCCCCAACCTGCCTTAATACTGGGGTTGCCCAGACCCAGGTGCAGCACATTGCACTTGGTCTTACTAAGCCACATGAGATTCCATGGGCCCGTTTCTCAAGCTTGTCCAGGCCCCTCTGGATTGCATCCCATCCTTCAGGTGTGCTAACTGCAACACCCAGCTTGGTGTCATCTGCAAATCTGCCAAGGGTGCACTCCATCACTTTGATTAAGGTATTAAATAACACAGGTCCTGGTACAGACTCCTGAGGGACACCAGTTGTCGCTGACGCCCATCAGGACTCTAAGCCATTCACCTCTGGAAGCAACTGTCCAAACACTTTCTTCTCCATCTACCAGTCCCCTCATTGAACCCATCTCTCTCTGATTTAGAGACAAGGATGTTGTGGGAGACTGGGTAAAAGGCTTTACAGAAGTTCAGATAGATGATGACTGTAGCTCTTCCCTTGTCCACTGCAGTAGTCACACCTCAAATATTCTGTGAAGATTTTTGAAACTGAGTAGGAAATGCATCTATTTTTCAGGAAACAAGGCCAAAGAATTTGATCAAAAGACAAGGCCTGCAATGGTCCTCAGACAGTTCACATTCAGCTGAACTTGATTAGCCTCCAGGAAAGTAATCTCCCACTTAAATGAACTTTGTTCTGCTCACTGATCCACACTGCCTTCACCAGCAGGCAAATTTCCTTGTTAGCCTGATAGTTTTTGAGGTTTAATCCAGCATGAAAAAAAAATCTGTTCTACCACAGGCAGAAGCTGAACTCAAACTCAGCCTTTAATTTGCACTCCTGTACCTGAATATTTTAGTTTCAGCTGAAAAAAATATATGGACCATTACATTCTGATATGACACTTCACCAATACCTGGAGAATGAGTTATGGTTGAGCTGTTAAACACCAGTTTCAGATGCATCCCTGAAAATACTCTAAGGTTTTGTGAGCTTATATAGATCCATCAGTCATGCTTTTAATACAAGGCTACTAGCCTACTTTATTTTTCCCTTGGGTACATTAAAAACAACGCAATGAGATAAATATCTCAGGTGAATGCAGAAGTGGCAGACAAGAAAAACAAATGAAATACAAAATATTTGGAAAAATGCACAACTCAAAGTCAACCCTATCAGAAAAGCTACCAAATTTGACTAAGCATGAAACGTTAATAATGTTATTTATTGGCTTAACTCAACAATGTTATCATACTTTATTTTAAAACAATTTGTCTTGAAATAAAATCTATTTGATTATGCCTCATTTCTGCTTCAAGACCTTCATAAGACTTGAAAATACAGGTTGCCACTGTTAACCAAAGATCCCTTTTATAATAAAACCCACTGATGAGAGGACTTAGAATTTTTTCTAGCTTCTTATTATTACAGAGTTTGTTCTGCCACCCAATCACATAATTAGGCAACATTGTGGTAAATAGATTGATTGTTTATATTCTGATATTTCAGTTAAGATTTTAAGTAAGTAAACCAAATCCCCAATGCAAAGTAAGTACAATCCATTTGCCATTTTTTGGCAACTGCTCCAAAACTCAGGTCTCAACATGCTGACATAAATGGATGTACTCCATTTGTGGAATTCCACCTGAGGTCACACTTATTTCAGATGCTACAGATTTGGATGGCCTTATTTTTGTGAGGCAGGCAGATACTTTAATAGCTCCTCTTTTTGGAGAAAGGAAATCAACCCTCCATTCTTCTTCTAATCTTGGCCTGAAACAGAAACAAAGCTACAGA